AATTGATTGGCGTATTCAACCAGATTGAATACGTTAACCAATGGTTATACTTGTTTAACAGAAACCATGGAAAAATCAGGAATTTCGGAGGCCAATTCACCCAGCTCCTTGAGAGACATGATTCGGGCCATTTTACAGGAGGAGCTCGAGGCAAGGTCAGGTGGTTATCGTTCTCGCACTAATTCGAGAAGTTTATCCCGAAAGAGTCGACACAGCAGATCCATGTCTCGTACCAATTCACCTCATCATTTTAGACGCTCCCGCTCTCGCATCAGCCGTAGGCGTTCAAGGTCACATTCTAGGAGTAGTAACAGTCGCAGTCGATCACCGAGCGTGTCGAGGCGACGTAGAGAGAGACGGGAATATTTGCGTCAAGAGAAAAACTCAGGCAGCCCATCTGATAAGGTACAGCGTCAGGTAGACTCGGCTGGCCGTTCTCCGTGCGAGGCGGAAGCTCAGATTCTGACAGGGCCGGACTTGGGAACGGTACCAACTGAGAAAAATGATATGGAGGATGTTTTGATGCTTAGTGAAGGTGAGTGTCTCCCATTATCGGAAGACATATTAAATATCCTGGGTGTAGATCCTAAAAAAGCCAATAGGTCTAACTTCCAACTACACGGTGCCTTAGCTTCTCGATGGTCCCACATTTTGGCCAACGGACTTTCCACCGAGGACACCACCATCATTAGAGAAAAACACATTGTGCCTTCTAACTGTGCCTCTTTACACCCTCCGAAGATAAACCCCGAAGTGAAAGCCATTCTCTCTTCTACTCATTTAACGAGAGATGCCACCCATTCCGGGTACCAATTGAACATTGGTACCGGACTGACCGCCATGGGGAAAGCTTTTAACGTCATTTTGGAAGAAGAAACCCAGATTCCCAAGGATACCAAGGAAAAGATTTTATCGAATTTGACAGATTCTGCGCGAATCTTGGCGGCACTCTTTCACGACATCTCTAAAACTAGAAAGTACCTGATCAGCCCAGTACTCAACAAATCAGTTAAAGAACTGACTGAAAACACCTTACCAGGGGAGTTCTTATTCGGGCCAGATTTAGGTGAGCGGGCGAAAAATTTGAAATCTTTGGAGAAGGCCGGACAGGACCTACGTTTGTCCTCTATCCCCTCACGCAGTAGCTCTCAAGTGACTCGGTCTTTCAGTAATCCTGAAAGAAGAGGGGGGGGAGGCAACTCGTCAAAGAATGTAGGCGCTTTAAACAGGTATCGCCCGTCTTACCGCAAGAGGGAGGTGAGGCAGCACAAGGGCAATTCCTCAAAACAGTTTGCTCCGAACAGACAACAGCAGTCCAGAAAACGTTGAAGGTAAAACAAGTTCTATTTGCTGGTCGGCTACAATTTTACCTCAACTCTTGGTCAAAACTAACTTCAAATCCGATAGTCTTATCCTGGATTCAAGGTTACCGGATTCCCTTTAAATGCACACCTCCATTACGTCAACCTTTGGGCACAAATAATTTTTCTTCGACAGAAACATCGCTAGTTCGAGTAGCTATACGCGACTTGCACACAAAGCTTATGAAGCCAGTCGTCTCCTTTCTCCGCAATTTAGGCATCTCTACAGTCAATTATTTAGACGATTTTCTAATCTTTGGAGTTTCCTATGAATCCTGCCTTAATAATGTTAGCACAACCATTCGGTTTTTAAGCTCATTGGGTCTTATCATCAATAACAGCAAAAGCATTCTGGTACCCACTACTCGTATAAGATTCCTCGGCTTTCTGATAGATAGTGTTAATTTAACAATTGAACTTCCTGCCGAAAAGAAAAATCACATCCTCAGGTTAGCCTCATATTATTTGAACCAATCGAGATGTAGAATTCGCGACTGGGCAAGGTTCATTGGCACCTTGGGGTCGGCTTGTCCTGGTGTGAAATACGGGCTTCTTTATTGCAAATCTCTAGAAAGGGAAAAATTCTTAGCTTTAGAGAAAAACAATGGAAATTATAACGCAAGTATGGCTATTCCTGAAAACATAAAGAGCGATATTTCATGGTGGAAAGATCACATTTCAACAGTTTTCAATGACATAAGGTATGATTCCTTTCATATCACCATCTTTACCGACGCATCGCTAACAGGATGGGGGGGCTTGCTCTGGCCAGGATAGAACCCACGGTTTCTGGTCCGACTCCCAAAAACCATTGCATATAAATAATTTGGAATTATGGGCTATATTTTTTACGGCATCCAGTGTTATGCAAAACTTTTAAAAAATTGCAATATTCTAATTCGATGCGACAATACAACAGCCGTTTCTTACATTAACAGAATGGGGAGTGTTCGGTTTCCAGAGCTATGTTCTCTGGCTAAACAAATTTGGCAATGGTGTGAGGAAAGAAATCTCTGGCTTTTTGCATCATACATCCCATCTAAAGATAACGCTATAGCAGACGATGAGTCCAGGAGCTTGAATTTTGAAACGGAATGGTCATTATCTCAAACTGCCTTCGACCATTTAACCGACATCTTCGGAAAACCAGAGATCGATCCTTTTGCCTCTCATACCAATGCGAAATGCGAGGTATACGCTTCCTGGCATAGAGATCCAGGATCTACATATATCGATGCGTTTACAATTCGCTGGAACAGTTTTTATTTTTATGCATTCCCCCCTTTTACCTTAATTCTCCGAGTTTTACAAAAAATAATTCAGGATAAGGCTGTCGGAATTTTGGTGGTTCCTTGGTGGCCTTCACAACCTTGGTACCCACTTTTCCGTCAGTTATTGATCGACCAAGAAATTCATTTTCCCCCTTCACCTGATTTACTATCTTGTGCGGTTTCCAGGTCACATCCGCTGTCGAAAACCCTTACCCTGGTAGCAGCGAAGTTATCAGGCAAGCGTTTTTGAGTAGAGAGGTGCCGGAATCTGCTATTTCTACAATCATCGCCTCAGTCTCCAGATCCACATTGCAGCAATATAACAGCTCCTACAAATTGTGGTGGGAATTTTGCTTTAGTAATGACATTTCGATCTTTAAACCCACAATCAAAGACGTGGTGTCATTCTTGCAAGAGTTGACAAAGAAGAAAAACCTCACGTCTGGCACTTTTAATTCTCATACATCTGCTCTTTCACTAATTTGCTCAACTGATTTAGCATCCAATCCTATAATTAGACGCTTCAAAAAAGGCATTCATCGTTTACGGCCTTCTCGGCCAAAATATTCGGCCACCTGGGATCCTATACCTCTCCTAAGTTATCTAGAAAAGTTACCATCTCCACTTAGCCTCCAAAGTCTGTCACAAAAATTGACAACGTTATTAGCTCTAATAACAGGAGAAAGACTCCAGACAATTTCTCTTATTCGTCTTTCACATACCTCCCATGGTCCCAGCGAAACTACCATTAATATTTCAGACCCAATTAAAACCAGTCGAATTGGGAAACCTCAACCAACCTTGCATATACCGGTTTTTCAACAAAACCCTTTCCTGTGCGTAGCCACCATCCTGAAGGAATATATTGACAGAACAGCTAGCTTGAGAGAACCCGACAACGATTTTCTATTCGTGACATATAAAAAACCACATACCAGGGCGTCCAAAGACACTTTAAGCAGATGGGTAAAACAGACTCTTGCATCGGCGGGTGTCAACACAACACTTTTTACGCCTCATTCAGTCGGGCATGCGGCTACCTCAACGGCGTTAAGAAAAGGCGTTTCCGTAGATAGTATATGTAAAACAGTTGGTTGGACGCAACATTCCACATTTGCAAAGTTTTATAATCGTCCTTTACAAACCAACAATGAGTTTGCAAAGGCCATTTTGGACATAAATGCCTGATTAGTTAGAACAGTTTAAGAGTTTGTGACGTACTTTAGGTACTCTAGTTGTTTTTTGAAAAAATATTACTATTAGGGTAAATGTTAAAAATTGACCCCTTGTTTTTTTGCTTTTGTTTATGAGAATGCAGAATATATGTTTTTGCCTTTTTGTGTTTGTATACTTGTATTTTTTATATCATCAACTCGCTCGCAACTCTATCTCATCTTTAAACATCTACATAGTGAATAAACAAAGTGATGTCTTCGGACTGGACCCAAAGTATAATTGATCGATCAAACGAACTTACCTGAAGTGAAGTTCGATCGTAATTATACGAGGGTCCAGTCCGAAGACATCACCCCCACCCTATATGCAACCCTCCCAAGTTGCGAGCAAGTACCATTTCTTTAAACAAATGATTCAACGCGAGTGGCCAGGGCGCGGCGAGGAGGTGGGGATTCTCGTCTTTCAACTTGGTGCGCGGATCGTACTCCAGGGGCGGACTACATAGTGAATAAACAAAGTGATGTCTTCGGACTGGACCCTCGTATAATTACGATCGAACTTCACTTCAGGTAAGTTCGTTTGATCGATCAATTATAGTCGACAGACACTGAGGTATAGTAGATGTGTCAACGTAATAATAATTCCGGCCCAAACAAACAGCACAACAAACGGGTCATAATGACTACCATCTTTCTTAATACACAGTTTCCAATACTTCAAAATGCGTTGTTTACACAAACTCGGCGTATTCGTAAACACTGAGCAGCACAGCAACTCCAAACCTACAGCGACTCGGTGGAGTACCCTGCAACGACGTTGAGCGTAATAAGTCGCGGCGCAATCTGAATCGGGACGCCGTCGGTGGCGTCTCTAGCATGGCGTCGCCGGCGCCCGCCACCGGCATGACGTCATAGCGACTACGGCGTAGGCGTGTTGAATGAACGCGGCCGCCGCCGCTTGCCGCTAACGCGCGTGGGTGGATGAAAATGGCTGCGGAAGGAGGGGGGGGCAAGCAGGGCGATGCTGATGCAAGTTAGGTCTATTTCGGAGCCCCACAGAGACGCCCGCGGGGGTCTTCGCTCATTTTAGGTGGGCGACGCACTTTAGGGATGCTTAACAAATATTCAAATTAGGTCTGATTTAATTCAAACACTATTTTAGTATACTTGTTCATTGGTGAGCTATAATCCTGTTAAGCCCTTTTCGGCGATGCTGGAGGGCATTGCTCAACTACGTTCCTATAATAATAATAATAGTAATAATAATATTTATTCACCCAAAGACAACTTGTAAAAAATCGTATCAGGCTGGGTCAATCATGGAACAAACATAAACTCATTGCATGGATTTTATAAAAACAGGAATAATTCATCAACACTTTAAAAATATTGATCGACTAAAATTTTCTAGCGGGACTTTGCAAACAAACTAAAATAGAGAATCGACTTAACAGTTTGGTGTAATGCGTGGAACAGACTTAAACCTAGACAATCAGGGGCGTACATCCCAATTCTGTATATAATTACTTTGTCATTTACACAGACCATGGACATCACTAACACTTGGCAGTTTATAATAAATATTTATTAATAATACTTTTAAAAACATACACATACATTTCTAAAATGAATAGGCTGGGAAGGGTAAGAATATTAAGATTTTTAAAAATCTCTTTTCAAGACACTGTGCTACGTAGACCTACCAGACATCTAACTGCCCTCTTCTAGGCTACAAAATCATCATGTGAATTGCTGCTCATACCCCAGAAACAGACACGATAATGAAGTCTGCTACTAACATTGGCATGGTAGAGCAGTAGGGATTTCTCGAAAAATTAAGGCCCAATAAATGTGTCTTCCAGTATGCCACACCACCACCTAATCAGAAGCGCTGGCCGCAGTGGTCACCTGGTCAGTCGCCGTGCGCTGCGAGGGTTCAGTATTCAAAGAGAAATTTTTCTTTTGGCTACGGGGGTTATGATTGTCGTTAGATGGTACGGTGGTAGACGGTCTCTGGCTGTCGTACACGGAGGTACCACTCGGCGGATCTCGTAGGCGGGGTCAGAATGTGTGCATGCTGCATGTACACGTGTTCCCTAGCTAGAGTCCATGTGGTGTTGCGTCCACCCCTTTTCCCCTGTATCCCCCTATAGTCCCATGGGTGTTTAGGCCTTAGGCCTTCGTGGTAGCTGAAGTATAAAAAAAAAATAACAATTGATCACGTCTCAGTACTAACCTTAAATTGTTTATCGAATTATTATCAGATAATAGATTACTAAAGCTTTTTTCTGGCTGCTAAATAAAAACATATAAATATGCAGAAATGGCACCTCACGTTTCGGCCACCTCGTTGGCCTTTTTCAAAGTATAAATTAGAAATTTCTTTTTTACGCCTGCGACACGATGAAACGTTGCGGATCCTACCATGACATGGTAGTGGACTAAAAGCCAACATTGGAACTAGTAACGGCGCCTCTGGTGAAAGGGAGGATAGATGGTGATGCTGGGATTTTCTTCTTCTGCGCGCGGCCAGTAGCAGATCGGGAAGAGCGGAACGGTTTGAGGGGGTGGATGACAAATGTTGATGTTGTGGTTAGCGCTGCTTGGCTGCGGATCCATACTACATGAGTATGCTGATCAACAGATAGGTCGACAACGCTGGTGGATGTTTACCTACGTAAGTCAAACGCAGGTTCAGTAAAAGCGTAGTCGAAAAGGTCAGCGGTATCAGGTGGAGCGTAATATTGCAAGCGGAGTACGGCAGAACACACTCATAGATAAAGGATACTTACAATAGAAAATGACGTCAAGTAGCTTCACTCTGCACACCTACGCAACGCTGTCATCAATTCATAAAATATTAAGTCCATTGCAACTTAAATCCTCTGAGGAAGAAAGTCAGTTATGAACATGTACGACGGATAACTTAAACGGATCAGTCGGTCAGGCCCACATAAATATTCCATGTAAATTCTTTCCCTGCCTTACCGATAGCTACTGTTCATTTACCAACGTGGTCCCTGGCCACATCTCCACACATCGCTGCAGCAAGTTATCGTTCACTTCGCACGTGATCCGTGTATATGCTTTTTGGCCTGCAGTTAGCAGTATAGGTAGATTAGCGAGCCGGACCGGTTTGTCGGGCGATGAGCTTAGATAGCAGGCGTATGCGGATCGGAAACATTTCTCCATCATTCTAAGTTATCATGGCAAATGGGGTTGGAACCGTATAAATACACTAATGATCAAAAAAAATATATACCATCCCCTCCTACAACCCCCAACTACCGAATTTCAACGCCTTCAAAATTGTTTTCTGGAAATGATCAGGACCCTCTGAAATCAAGTTTGAGCGATTTTTTTTTGTTTCTGCCTTTTTTCTCCACCGCCACTGGACCGATGTTCAACAACTAAAGCTTTTTCGCCCTTGGCTTAGTAGCAACCTTGTGTGAAAATTTCATCAAAATCCGAGCGTTACTTCTCAAGTTATATGGTTTTTCGAGATGTACGTTATACATCTGAAAAATCCAATATCTTATTTTCGAAATTTTTTGCAATTTCAATACTTCCTCTTCCTCGCCCAGTGGACTACGACGTAACACTGTGTCAACACAGAGAACCGTGCAGTTCTACCAAACAAATATTGAAATAGGACCCTACGCGTGCTTAAAAATAATGCTTATGAATTACATATTATGACCTCAGTAATATTTTGTGAAACTATTTTGGAACTGTTAAGGAAATGCTACCTGAAGTTTCGTCAGGTGCTCCATAAAATAAGATTACCTCTGTGATATCTTGAGAAAAACGGCACATAGTACGCTTCACAAATCTTTTTATTGTGTGAGCTACTTTTTACAATTATTGTTTGAATTTGTCACAGTGAAAGTGACGGAAGTTCTATCAAACATAACGCATCAGTGTTATGTTATGTGGTATGCCTTTCTGAGATATTTATCTGAGCGACCCTCAACAATAATTTAAGGTCATCCAATATAAGATGTAATTAATATGAAAAACCATCCCTTTTTGTCAATCATAAAACTTTCGGTAAGTCTGCGCGAGTGCACTGCCCCCCCCCTGGGAAAAATTCCTGCGTGCGCCCGTGTCAATTGAGAGGATAGTTGTCAAATAGTTGGTGGCACAAAAATCAGAGGAACCGACTGTCATTATGTATGACATATTATGTTGTCTCACTATCAATAGTGTGCTTTGATAAACTGGGGAAACGAGAACGGCACATGCCAAGATGTTTATCGACCTTTGGTAATAATAGTCTACTAGGTATCTAGATTCAAATCTCGTGTCTGCCGAAAACACATGTTCCAATACAAAATTCATTACCGTTTTACTGCTCTTACAGAATTTGTTTACTCAGCGATATGATATTATTGTAATTATAAACTACAGAAATATTTTCCGATTTTCGAATCCAAACAATAACAGGAACAATTGATTTCCCCAGGTTCACAGAACCTAGCGGAATTCCACTCAGCATTCGATAGATTGAGTCAACAATGTCATGCGTTTTCAAAAGAAATTACAATACACGTGGGTGATTGGAGTTGAGACAGGATATACGGTTTATAACATATTCAGGGGCAAGTTACACATATTTAACCCCGATAAAGTGGTATATGCAAATCTGGAAGTCGGCAGGCATCTCGAAATTTAAAAACTCTTCTAATCGCCCATACTTCTATATTTCTCAGTCATATATTATGCACGATTCGAATAAAAATGAAAAAAAGTGACGCAATACCAATTAATTACATTACTTTTAAAAGCACTAAAAGTACACCACAAAATAATTTAAAGTTAAAATATTTCACATACATACATTTAGAAAGTCACAATAAACCTTAGTGTAATAATTCTTCTATAGAACTCCGATTATATTGTATATATTCTTAGAATAACGCAAAGAAAAATACCGGTACAGCCTGTGTTATCTCAAGGTCACAAAACATTACGTCATGCTACATTTCAAGGAGTGTTTCGAACACAGACGATACTGAAATAGATTTGCTTTTTTAAATGCTATTAAAGTGAAAATAGGTGTTACATGCTTCATTGATTTATAAGCATCTGTTTATAAACGTTGAATTTTCACACAAAAGTGCTTTAGATTTCACGATATGAAAATACACGAATTCAAACTCAATTCTGTATACGTTAATTTACATTAAAGTTATATAAAAGTGTATAATAGCTGTTATGATAACCCAACTTACATAAGCAAACATCGGATATTTTCCGATATTAGATAAATGAAAAGTGATAAGCTACTTAACGATTTTTTAATTTATATTCTAGTCAGCATGTGAATCAGCTTATGGAGAAAATATGTAAAATGATTGCCAAACTTTTTTTTCACTTTTCTTATTCAATGACATGAAACACGTGCTTCTTCATAATACTCATTATCAAGTGATATACACGGATATATAGATCGTGGAAAATATCCAACTGGACAGAATCATAAATTTTGAATATTCCCGCATTGTAGCTTTTCCCAATCCTGTTGTCCATGCCCAAGAAAGTACAAAAATTTTAATCCAAAGGCCCTGAATCTGAGCTTTATGTTTTACCAACCCAATGTGACGTTTAAACGTTTGCGTTTTCGATGTAGTATGTGTAAACCTAATTCTTGTAACCAATTATGAGCCTGTTAATAAATGTGTGTTATCGTTGGCTTATAGTTTTTATCTGCAGTTCGGTCACCAAAGGAGGAACAAATTTGATGCATGTTTACTTTCTCGGGAGAATAATATAGCGCGACCCTATTCAGGTTCCAATGTCTTCTGCAAGTTCTTTGTCAGTCAGTTGACGATTTGCATGTAGCAGATCAGAGAATTATCTTAAATTGATTGTATACGGCTGAGAGCATCATCCCCTTTTCTTTCTGAAGTATGAATGTTACGGTAAAGGTTATTCTCAACTTCACACAAAACTTTACGTCGCGTCGCATCGTTGCTCCCGAAAATCGAACATTGTAAAAATCGCCATGAACGCATTGTAACTAAAAAAACAATGACACCAGAAACAAGTGAGATATCAATGATGCGTAAAGAGCTTACCCGGGAAATTATGACAAACACAGTGATGCACACAACGCTACGGGACTCGTTGCCGGGGAATTTACAACATTCGGTTATTTTCTGAACAGTATTTTAATGACTTCCTTGTTAGAAAATCTAGGAGCGCAGCTAGTCCTGACTGACTGATCTCGCCTGATG